GACATTAAAATGTCTTTGAATGCAATGTCAGGAACCTTCGTCTACCATAATCGTTAAAAAACTACGTGGCCACAGTCACGCTCTTCAAATAATGACGAGACTGATAAGCCCAACCGACTTCCCTTTCTTCGGCGACCTCCAGTCGCCGAAGAAAGAGAAGTAAGGGGAAGGGGGCTAAACCCGTGACCGCAACCAACATGTTACCGGGTAGTTTTACCGTCTTGCTTCTGGTCCTGCTCAGCTACTTCTACTAAAATATAACTACAACCTCACATCATGAAATGCCATGTCGAAGTGTGGCAGCTTGGGCTAGTTGGTACGGCATGACGATAGTTATCAGCGCGAAAACAAAACGACGACACAGAGACAAGAAGGACACGAAAGTGTTGCCATGTCGAAGCAGCGATAAAGCCTACGATAATGCGACGTTATTGCGAGTAGTGGAAGAGTCGTTGCACACACAGGGCACGCGTACAGATTAATGTGAATCATAGCGATGCGTTCCTAGCGCTTCAACACAATGTTCGGACATGCACCCTAATAATTACTACTCGGTAAGTGTGCACTTGGACGCGCGAGACCTATTTCAATCGAGATTATATTCGTACTTTGCAAACGTCATTTCACCCGTCAACCTCGGTTATGCTTTTCCTTCATACACTGAAGTTGTGCGGGAAGCCGTAAGCCTGATTCCACCCCGCCTCCCATTCGAAAGCTTTCGGCACGTAACGTGATTTCGCGCTGCCTCCAGGATCGCACACGTCGAGAGCCGTTGTCAGATAGGAAGGAGACGCGGCGCCGAAACGCTTTGTCCCAGAGTCACACTTAACTCATCAACCCATCATCATCCTACGTCTGTCCCGGCTCTCCCTCCCCCCAGGGCTGTGTGGGGGGAAGATTTGTTTCGGGCAGACGGCCATGCCCTGGCAAGGGGGCCACCGTTCGGCGCCAGGCGCCCAACAGACGCGGCCTGCCTCCCGGCATACAAGCCAGGGAGGCCCGACAAAGGGACTACCCTCCGGCGGAGCAACTTCAGTCGCAACGCGCAAAGTGAACGTACCCTGGCAGGGTGGGCTATCGCGGCGCATGGGGCGCGCTGCGGTCATGGCCCGTCTCCTGACCACTAGGGCCCAGCGAGACTTGACATAGGGGCTACCCTTCGGCACGGTAGCTCTCGCCACCACACGCAAAGCGGACGTACCCAAAAAAGTGGCAGCGGTGCTGCCTTCGGTCGCGGCAACTTCAGTCACCACAACCAAAGTGCCCGTGCCCTCACACTGTCGCGCGGCTGAGAGCCTGCGGCAACACCCCCACAGTGCGGATGGGCTATCGCTCAGCGCGAGGCGTTTTGCGGTCATGGCCCGTCTCCTCACCACAAGGGCGCAGTGAGACACAATCCGTCCTGTGGTGTCTACGGGACTACTATTTGGTGCAGAGGCCAGTGCTGCTGCACACAAACCAAACGTACCCACGGAAACCGGCACGGCTGAAAGCCGGCTTAGTCCTTCTCGAAGAAGGGAACCACCTTCCGCCTCGACGAGTAAAGTAGCCGAGCCTACAGAAGGGGCCAACACGGACCTTGCGGGTAAAGCCCGACAAGGTGACAGGATCACCTTAGCACATGCAAAACTCGGGTGAAAGACCATACAGACCAAACTCGGGGGCGACTGGCTCACTAGGCCTAGTCGTGGAGCCTTAGAGAAAGCCATCATTAAAAGTTGATGGTTATCTGCCCTCCTGCCTCACTGAAAATCACTGCCGGACGGTGCCACGTCTCGTAGAACTTCTTTGCACCAAGGCGCTGCCACTCTCGGTGGAGAACGAACCAGACCTCCTTCCGTACTTTTGCAAGTACTTCGAGAAGCCCGGGTCGCTTGCCATCAAAGACGGCACAGCACCGTGCAACCCACACTTGGTACGAGCACTCAACAAGCAGAAGCACGTATTGCTTAGCCGCTTGTCGCGACAGGGGATGAAGAAAACGAACGGTGTTGAAAGGAACACCTGGGTGGCCAAACAAGCTAGCTATCCTTCGATGGAGGGCAGCTGGTAGTGCGCACTGAGAGAACACGTGAACCAGGTCCTCCAAAGTGCCACAAAAAGGGCACACTCCTCGTTGAGCAATTCTTGCGAAGGGCCTGAACCTTAGAGGCAGGCGATCTCTGGCCAGGCGATACATGAATGTAGCGCGCTTGGCGTCCAGAAAACTGGCAGTAATTAACCGCCAGTTAGGACTGTATTCGGACAGGTCGTGTTCTCTGTAGCATTCGGGTAACTCCGGAGCGAGTCTATCGACTAACTCGCGGAGTTCGATTGAATCTAAATCTATCTCGGGGTCGACCTCTTGGAGACGGGCCAAAGTAGAAGCGGCCCTTGCATAGAAGGCAGAAGGCGTTCCCGCCCGAGGCACGGAATTCGAAAATGCCCCAGGCGAGAACAACCTCAGCCTGGTACTCAGGAAATAAGACGCAAAGCTTCTAGTAAGGAGCATATCTGACTCAAGAGCTACCCGTGTCCATTTAACATGTAATGCCGTGGTCACAACGCTAAGGTCGGGAATACCTAGTCCTCCTTCGTCCCTCCTTCGTGATAACGGAATCGGTGCGAAACCGGGTGAGGTCGAAGGACCTCACCCGGTTTCGCACCGATTCCGTTATCATCCTACGTCGGAATAAGCGACGGTGTCACGTGAAGGCGTCAACGTGTGACGTCACGTGACGTCATAACGACACTTGCTTCGCAGTATTGGCGACAAGCCTGAAAGGAGTGATGAGATGTTGTTGTTCCCTCTGTTACAAAGCAGTAAGGAAGTCCTTGGGCCGGCTGCCCCCAAGCGTGCCTTCCCGTCATCTCGGACATTCTTTTGTGGGGTGCGGGTTGTCACCTGCACCGGCTGTATTTGTCTCGGCTGTGCGCTTCGCCTGCGGGGCAGTGGCTACGGGCGGGCCCCTCTGGAATGTGCGGAAGGCCGGTTGTGTGCTACAGGAGCGACTGCCGTGAATTCCTTCTGCGTGGTCGCTTCCTAGTCCCCGCGCGTGTGCCACGTGCATCTGCCACGTGTGTGAAGGGATACGTGGGTTGTGCTCTCCAAGGAGTGGTTGGTTCCCCGAAGGGACATTCCGCCCCTATCTTCGGAACTGCACGGCGAGGCAGCGGGAGCAGCCCGCCAGAAGGAAACAGGAGAGAGTCGCGAGAAGAGTCGTCGTTCGGACGTTACTGTCCGACATGTTGCAAATAAACGTCTTGTTAAGTGTTCCTCAACGTCTGTTCCTCTGTCTCAGCTCTCTGGAGTTCTGAACGTCCCCGTGGCCTGCGGAATGACGACCACCACCCAGCTCCACGCTACCTACTGGGTCCGCTGCGGCCACCGACGCGGCTCGTAACACCTCCAACATGGCTCATACTCACTCGAGGGGATTCTATGGGGGGATTCACGAGTTCATTATATGAGGGGGTGGCGTTCTTTTCTTTTTCTTTCTTTATCTCTGTTTTTGCATCTATTTTCTGTATGTTCGTTTATATATCTTTTGTTTCTCTTTTGCCCACTGCGAAATAAAGACGGGACAGACATGCGCAATAGCGCTTGTCCTTGTCCGTCTCGTCCTTACTTCGCGCTAAAAGCTACCACTCTTTCTCATGTGTTTCTTTCTACATATTTCTTTCTCCTTCTGTTTCTACCTTTAACTCTCTCTATCTTCCTTTTCTATTTCTCTCTCTCTCTCTCTCTTACGTGCTCCACGAACTGCACTTCACCAAGCAGTTTCAGTTCAACGCTCGCACCTGCTGCAAACGGTATAGTGTAGCTTGCTCAATATTCCTCTAACGATTAACCACTCTAGGAGGCAGGGTAATGCCGTCTTTCATCACCAATAATTCGTACATAAACTTGTTATTCTAGCTTATACGAGTAATATCCTAAAAAAATACTTGCTCATTCTAGCTTGTTTACTTTAGCTTATTCTAGTTCAAATAGCTTGTTCATCCTAGCTTATACGAGTAATATACTAAAGAAAATACTGAAAAAAATAACCTACTGCTCGGTCAATTCCTTGCATTGGGTACGAGCCACGAGATGAGGATCTCCTACATTTTTTGAACAACGTTTCAAATTTCCAACTACTCATTATTGGTCAATTGGTCATTGTATTAGAAAAAAAAACGAACGAACAAACAAATAAAAAGAGGCAAGGTACGAGAGCGTCTCTGTACGTACTTTATTCGTAAGCAACTTTATAATTGTTCAATTTTTATATTCTATGAGTGATTGACTCATTTTTAATCAAATTTTAATTTTAAAAAAGCACAGCATATCCACGGAATGAATGATGATGAGTGAGGCGAAGCGTTTGTCAATCCGTCCGTGCTTCCGTTCGTCCGTACGTGCGTCCGTTCGTGAGTCCGTCTGTGCGTCCGTCCGTGTGTCTGTCTGTCCATCTATGCGCCCGTCCGTCCATTTAGTGAACACTTCAAGTACCGCGATCTCCCTTCTTTTTATCATATATTCATCATATACAAGTACCGCCATCCAGCGGACAATCCAAGGACTAAACAAGAGTATGTACCCATTTCTGCTGTCAGCACTTTCTAAACACCGAGAGCGTGATAAGGACGCCGTGCTACGTGTTTCGTTACATGTGGACATGCGGATATGTGCCCGAGGTCGGGTATGTGCCACAGGTCACGCACTACAACGGGGGGCGCACAATACACGCCGTAAGGAGCTTCGCCCCTAATATTTTACTCATTATATTGACCGGCAGTTTAATGGCCAATCCCCCACAGCGGGCACGAGTCGAAATATAGGTAGAGCAAGCAAGCACGAAACGTCGCTGTTCTGAAGGAAAGTCGCGAAGGGCTCCGATCGCGCGATACGACCGCCCTCTGTGGGAGGAGCAGCGGAACCACAGCGCCGCCACTCCGCCGAGGAGAAGGAGGAGCGGCATCGCGGTGCGCATCTTCTCAGTCGCCTCTCCTCAGTCAGTCACGACAGAGGGCAGCTGTTGTTCCGAAGGAGCGACGCACGTGGACGAATGGCTCCAGGAGCGTCGTCGTGCCAGCGTCGCCGTCGCCGGCGCGCCGCGGGGACCCCGTGAGCAGCATGACGCGTTGCGGCCACCAGGGCCTACTAGTGCTGTGTGTCTCCCTCGTGTGCTGCTACTGCCTGGTGCTGCCGCCTACAGCGCAGGTGAGCGGCGAGACACTCGTTCGACACGTGTGCGCTTTCAGCCTGCACGTGCTTTTTCGTGCCGGGCACCCGGGCCTATAGCAGCAGAGCGACGTTCGCGTTCGAAGACGATGTAACGGGTGTGAGCATCGGCAATTTAGGCGAGGCTTCCGTGAGTACAGATTTGTGTGGCGGCTTAGTTCGCGAAAGGTCCAGGCGCTGGCCTGTGTAGAGAAATGCGTGCCCGGGTGCACACGATTTGAGTTGAGCCCTCGAAGAAGTACCGTTTTCTAATAAGCGATGCTCTATCAATCGTAACCTTATCGGCTGTCAGCTACAGCTGATTGCTACAGAAATCTCTGTTATCAGTCTACTGTCATCGTAACCTTGTCGGCGACCAGCTACAGCTGATCGCTACAGAAATCTCTGTTATCAGTCTACTGTCATCGTAGCCTTGTCGGCGATCAGCTACAGCTGATCGCTACAGAAATCTCTGTTATCAGTCTACAGTCATTTCACATAGTCACACTTCGTTGTCTCCTTTCACTGTTCCATTTTATCGTTTCACACACTGTTCTAGCCTGCGGAAGTGTTGCGCTGAGCACGTGGATGAAGGTACGTATTCCATGTTTGTGAACAGGGGTAGGCGCCGTCGACATACGGAGGCGCTTGTAACGACGTTGCGGCGTGTATGCTCCGCCCAGCCCAAAGCTCGCCGCTGTCCTTTATGTTCACGTGACAGCTGCCTTTAAGCACAGCGCGCGGCAGGCTTCGCCAACGTGCTGTGCTCGGGGGCTGCTTTGCAGCTGCTGTGCCGGTTGTTACGTGAACACAGAGGGCGGTGGTGGTCTTCGGGCTGGGCGGAGCCTACACGCCGCGAGGTAGCTACAAGCGCCCTCGTATGTCGACAGCGCCTACTTCTGTTTACTAATGTGGGGCGCGTTTATTCCCGGCACTGAAGGAAGGGAAAGGTAGTTAGCAGTGAGCATTGCACAATGTTAACGAAAGGAAGAAATAAGGATAAAAAGGAAATAAGGAAGAGAAGTGGTACATCCGGAACGCACACGCGAAGCTTTACGTGCCCCCGTTTTCCCTACAAGGGAAAGACTTCTATTTTTTTTTCAGCCTCTATAAGCTGAATCGCATTGTACACAGGCGCGCACACGCACAGGTAATTCCAGGCGGCGTATAGGCGTGCGCAGGGTTCCCCTTCAGGGAGTTGGGGCGAAGGTTCGTCGGAGCGCCCTCTCCCTATTATTTCAATGTATGGGGCTGACTGCGCCCACCTCCCTATTATGTCTATGTAATAGCCCTTTTATGTCTATGTATATAGAGCTGACTTCGCTCCCCCCGGCTCTCGATTGTGGGCGTAAGGAATGTTCCCCATGCATCGCGGAAGCTCTCGTGGTGACCAAGGATGACTTCAAAATTTTAGCAGAAAGCGCCTGATGATGGTCACCGTTATCAATGTGATTGGCGGCAAGGCGCCAAGCGCGCTAGCATGCACGCGGACAATGGCGCTCATCTGGTGCTGCAGTCATGGTATATGGTGCGTCGCGCGAATCTTCCGCTAGCTTTTGTGTGTGTGTGTGTGTGTGTGGAACGTCACATTTTCATTTACGTCGTATTAGTGCCGATGTAGCGAGGTGTGCCAACTCAGATGAGCATTCACGCTTACTTTAAAGGAAAGATAAAATATCTTAAAGGTAACGTTCGCCACGAATAATTACCCAGAAGTGCCCACGTGTAGTGGACAATCAAGCAACGTAAACATCTAGAGCAGGAGCGTAAATAAAAAAAAAATTAAGGGATGACCCACATCTTCATATGTCGGCCATTTTGTTTTTTTAAATAGAGGTGTTATTTTTAATTGCATGTCAATTAAAATCATGCATTGTAATGTAATTACGAAACGAGCGCGGGTTTCCAGCTCGTGTGACTGCATTGTTCTATTGAGTCTACCATAAAACTTCTATTTCCTAACGCGGAGTCACAGGTCAGGAAATGATTCGGGTTGACCTCCCAGCTTTTTCTGCCAAAATAAACATTTCTCTCTCCTTCGGTCGAGCGACAGGCGTGATTTAAAGTCTTGCACAGTTGAATCAACACGTGGTATACAAGTACACTACAAAATAAATGGACATTTGAAAAACTTGAATGTCCTATACTTAACTGACAAACAATTCGCTTGCAAGGGGCGAGGTGACGTCATGGCGTGATTAGAATTTTTTTTTTTTTTTGCATCACTCGGGTTAACGCCGCTGACGGTCGCGTTTTCTAAGGCTTTCGCCTTGAAGGCTTTCTAAGGCTTTCGCCTTCAAAGAGAACAATGGGTGCCTGGCAATAGGCAGATTATCTCACTCAGAGTATTTGAACTCGGCTGCTGGCCTGAAGGTCGCGGGTTCGATTCAGGCCGCGGAGGTCGCATTTCTATGGACGGCGAAATGCTAAAGGCCCGCGTACTCTGCGATATTAGTGGTCGTTAAAGAACGCCAGATACTCGAAAATTTCCGATACGACGTGCCTCACATAATCATGTCGTGCATCTGAGACGCAAAACCCCAGAGAGTGTAATTATTGAAGACGATAGTCTTTCTTGAGATAGTTGAACGCAGAAACTCTGTCCGTCTGTCTCCCACACGATTCAGCCCAGCCACACTACCAAAGTTTAAGCACTTCCCAAACGACCAGCCATCTTGAACAGGTGGCTGCGTTCATACATAAAAAAGCAAAGACTATACGCATATCTGACGCGCAACACCAACACGTATGTATTAGATGGTGTTTTCCTTTATTATAAAATACATAGACACGTATTTTTTAAAGGCTTTAGTGTTTCTTAGGCTGTGCTGAAAATACGACGCTATGCACGAAAGAAGCCCGACAAAAAAAAAAAAAAATATTTTCTTTTGACGACATTTGCAGCGGATCAGGCATACACGCAACCAATAGACCTCTCCCTGTTTGCAAACAATGTGACGTCACTGCGGGCACCCCGCCCACCATAGCCTCTCTCGGAACTGGTGCTGGTTGGCAGGAAAGTTTCGCCGGCGGCATCTTTCCGCATAGCAGAGCTGTGCCTCTGCATTTCTTCGACAGAAATTTCCACACTGCTATGTTCTAAAGTCACGGCTTTTGAAAGAAGGCGTTCGCGGTAGGGTCACTGCTCATAGTGCGGAAATTCGCTCGTCGTAGTTGGATGGATGGAGAAACTTTATTTAGGGCACTGAGAGACGCGACTAGCGCGCAGTGTACTTCACCCGCGTAGGTGGCTGTCGTAAACAAGTCTGATCTTTTTTCGAAAGTGAACGTTTTGAATGTACATTGTGACTGGCATGGACTTCGTGGGACATCGCCGTGTACATGAAATGTACACGGTGATGTACATGTAAACTTATTCAATTTCCATCGTGGCATTGGCGGCAGCATGGTGTTGAGCTGCTTTGCGCGACGTCACAGATAAGAATCTCACTCATTGCGCAAAAGTCTGATCGGCGACGAATAAAAAAAAAAGACTTCTTGCCGTGGGTTAGGTCGAGGTTAACATATCATCGTGAAAATCAAAGTGAAATTCTACCGCTATACGTTTCTCGGTGACCCAGTAAAAATTCACGTGATGTAAAACCCGACAACATAATTATATATAATATTTTCTGGCACAGTTACCTTGCTTCATTTGACACTTATAACGTGTCCTCGTACCTATATTGCTTCTTTAGTCCTGATCAGTCATGGGCACGTTACCAGTAAAAAGTAACAGTGTTACAGTTACTGAAGGCAAAAAAGTAACTCTGTTACAGTTACAGTTACCGATTTTGTAGATGTAACTTCTTACAGTTACAGTGAAAACGTAACGTCGTCATTTTTCCGTTACTGTGTAAAATAAGTAATTGATTACAAAACAAATGATAGATTTGAATCAATAATGGCGTAGAAAGGCATGCAGGTAATGAAAGTTGCATGTTGTGAAACCTTAGACGAAAAAAAAAACCTAAAAGTCGGTCAATATAATCAATCGTTCTGTAAGGCTCACTTTGTCACATCAGTGTTTTGTTGTTGTTGTTGTTGTTGTTGTTGTTGTTGTTGTTGTTGTTGTTGTTGTTGTTGTTGTTGTTGTTGTTGTTGTTGTTTATGCACACTTGGTGACAAGGAAGTTTACTTGCAAAATTCGTTACACTTTAGAATGAGTTGTTTTTCAAAGTTTTCATCAGAGAGCTTTCCCCTCTTGATAGACAAAATGTCACGTCCTTTGCTGAATAGCCGTTCAGCCGGCGCACTGGATGGAATCCCCTTATTTCGCTGAATGACAATCTTCTTAATCTTGGGGTACTTTGCCAGCTCGCTGATGTCAGTTCCGGTATCGCTGAGCCATTGTTGCACCTTGGAGCATGAAAGGGAGGAATGAGGCAACTGAAAAAAACACGTCGTCTTCGTCGGTTCCTTCGCTGGCGGCTGCATTTTCATTGAAAAATGCTTCTAGAGCATGACACTCTTCCTCAAGAAGTCGTAACATCGTTGCTTTCCGCGCTTCAGTCATCTAGGAAAGCTTGAACTTTAGATGTACCGCTGCTGCCAGGGCCACATCGGCATCCTCCAAAACTCCAGAAAACCTGTACTGAAAAAAAAGGTTACAGAAACAATGAATGGCCCTGTTGAAAACATTTCACTTTCTATCATATTACGGACAATCCGTGGTACGAATGCCTCCTGCTAGAGCACGCGATGAGATAGGACAGCAAGGAGATAGGTACAGGAAATTTTTTCTTGACTGCGTCCTGAAGACTGCTAGCAAGAGGTGTGCAGTACTTAAGCGGCGGGAGGGATCGCTGACACTGCAGTAGAGATTGAAGTGTTTGTTGGCTGCAGGACGCCCATGTACATATATTGTTCCCCTTGTAGTATATCTAGCGTTTTTGCCACAGCGTATACATCGCCTAGAAAAATAAAAGATATAGTCAATGCACTGCATCGTGTTAAACAAATAATCGAAACATACTATGCAGTATTCATCAATGAACATA